GCAGCACAAGTGGATCGCACTAAAGCATTCGCACGTTCCCGCCTTGGTCCCTTTCACTTCAGGAATGATTCCCAAGGACGAGGAGACTGACATCCATAGTACTGCCACCCGCAAACATGGCCAGACAGACATGATGAGGAAAGCAGCATAAAAGCTTTCTTTCCCAGGAATCTGAACTGATCAACTCAAAGCTGAGCGTGAGCTGTGGCAGCTGCCAACCAGCTGTAGCTGCTGCTCCTACCTTAGTGTTTGCGAGTCTGTCGAACTGCCACAAACGAGTTTCACTCAGCAGAGCAAGAGTGAAGACACCACCCTTTATATTCTAAAGGGTCTTTTTACATCCTCCTCCTCCCCCCCTTCTTTCTCAGCTTCTCACACTGCTCAGGATCACTGGGGGGGGAGACAGACACAAGAACATCCACCACCAAACCAAAAACCTACCCCCAAAACCACCAAAACAACCCCTCCGCCACATTATATATATATGGCCAGTTAGTTCCAGTGTCTAGAGATGGTCCTGAAGGGACAGTGGTAGTTTCTGCACCATCTCCTGATCGTTGCCCGTATCTTCACTACTTCTTCCTGTCCTCTTCTGGTGGCCACAGTGGCTGTAGAGTGGCTGCCATAGAGGCAGGTGTACTTTACTCCTCCTCCAGGCAAACTAAGCAGCGCTTCAGCACAGGCCTGGATAGAAGGTGATGCCAAAGCAAAAGAACGGCAGTCCAAATTTTCTTCATGACAAGTGGTGCTGACTGAATAGAGATGTTTAAAATAAACCAGATAAGAACAGGGTGGGAGGGAGGGGTTTACCCACATACAATTTTTCCTGTTTTTTTCCAGTCTTAATATGCCTTATTTCTTCTCGTCTTGACTTACTTCCTCTTTTCTTCCTAAGAAGTAGAGAAAAAAAACCATAATGATCAGGGCACAAAGGGAAATAAACAGGGTAAAGCGAAACATAAGATTAGGCCCTCCACAGAGTCAGTCTTCTTATGAAGCTGATGTAAATATTGCCACTTTGCGTTCCTGCCTCTACAGGCTGAGGCCGGTCAAGTGTCCTGCGGACACATTCAGGACAATGAGCAATTTTCCTCTATTTTTCACAGAAATCCAATTATTTTTTAGGGCTACAGAGCTGTATTGTTGTG